CCAAGAGGGCCAATGGCATTTTGGGCTGTATAAGTAGGGGCATTGCCAGAAGATCGAGGGACGTGATCGTTCCCCTCTATTCGACAGTGGTGAGGCCTCATCTGGAGTACTGTGTCCAGTTTTGGGCCCCACACTACAAGAAGGATGTGGAAAAATTGGAGAGAGTCTAGTGGAAGGCAAAAAAATGATTAGGGGCCTGGAACACATGACTTATGGGGAGAGGCTGAGGGAACTGGGGATGTTTAGTCTGCAGAAGAGAAGAACGAGGGGGGATTTGATAGCTGCTTTCAACTACCTGAAAGGGGGTTCCAAAGAGGATGGATCTAGACTTTTCTCGGTGGTAGCAGATGACAGAACAAGGAGTAATGGTCTCAAGTTGCAGTGGAGGAGATTTAGATTGGATATTAGGAAAAACTTTTTCACTAGGATGGTGATGAAACACTGGAATGCGTTACCTAGGGAGGTGGTGGAATCTCCTTCCTTAGAAGTTTTTAAGGTCAGGCTTGACGAAGCCCTGGCTGGGATGATTTAATTGGGGATCGGTCCTGCTTTGAGCAGGGGATTGGACTAGGTGACCTCCTGAGGTCCCTTCCAATCCTGATATTCTATGATTCTATGAATGGTATTTTCTGATACACAGTAGTGTTCGTCAAGGATCTTTCCTCTCCACGGAGCAATAATGGTCTTCCATTTTCTGCCTACTTTAACATTTCCAATCCACCTTGTGGGGCCCAGGGAATGACTCTGCCTGTCCGCTCGAGTTAGTACTCTACTCAGCACAGCATTCTTTGTAGAATGCTCATGACAGTTCATCCTCCTGATTCGTTCTCCTGGTAAGAGTAGCTCCTTCAGCTCACTAATTATGTTCATTCCCAGAATCCCTGGAACTCCTTCTCCCATATGATTGCCTTCTGAGGCTTTGTCTTTCAGGATGAAGATGCATTTTCCTGGCAGTGTCTGGCCCATGTAGGCTATGTCTGCTTCGAGGCATCCCACCACTGGGATTGCCAGTCCGTTAACTGCTGTTAGATGCACAAACTGTGTTCTGTGCATGGTCAGCTTCTTGTCTTTCAAATATTTTTGAAAATGTGACTCAGTAATGGTGGTGACTTCTGAGTCAGTATCTAACAAACATCTGGTCTTCACCCCTGCTATACATACTTCAGAAGTTAGACAGTCTCCAAATGCTTGCTTACAGAAGTCACTAGATATGCTGGCACTGCCCACATTCCTTTCAACACTGTATGCAGAGTGATTTTCCACCAAGGAAAGGCCTAGGAATCCTTCTGCCACTGCTTGGCCTTCTACTGTAGATGGACCACTCGCTCCTGGTGCCCGATTGGTTTCCAGTGCCTGGGACTCTGTTCTCCTTCTCAGTGGACATTCCCTGCTAGTATGCCCTGGCCTTTCACAAGTGTAACAGATGTACCTTCCCAGCTCATCCTTCAGTGGGGCTCTTCGGGATCCCGGTGCCCTTGGATACTTTGTCATAGTAATGGAATTTTTTTCTTTCATCAACTCAGTCATCACTTTCAGCAACTCCCCCTGTTGGACCACCAGTTTTTGGACAACTTCACTTGAGCTTTCCAATGTTAGCTGTGTTTGGGGCAGGGCCTTTTCCCCAGCAGCTGAATTCACTAGGCCCACACTTCGTGTAAGGGGGTTAGGCTTGGCTCTCTGTGTCACAGGAACTTCCTCTTCTTCTGACCACATAATGGCAGCCTGCATGAGTTCATGGAACTTCTTACTGGGCTCTTCTTTAAATCTCCTTTTCATTTCACGTTAGAGAGGGTCATCCCGGAGTCCCAGCACTAACTGCTCTTTCAGACCCGTATCTGGGTCTGGAACTTGTTGAGAGTCTCGCCGCTCCACTTTGCTCATTGTCTCCTGAAGGTCATACGCATATGCCTGGACAGTTTCACCAGGCTCCTGCTTTCTCTCAAAGAACTCCTTTAGTCGGGTTCCAATAGGTACCTTGTCTCCATACACTTCTAGGAGGAGTTCAAATACCTTTTCCACATCTTTTTTGTCTGTCACTGCCATGAACTTTACTGTGGCCTTGGCCTGGCCCTTGAGGTGCTCCTCTACAAAGTCCACACGATCTTCTTCAGGTACTCTTAGCACACGTAGGGCTGCCTTCACAGACTTGACCCACTCTTCTACCGTAATGTCTCCTGATATTGTCAAGAAGCCACCAAACTCTGTGACCGTCTGTCTGCTCCTGTGGGACATAAATAGTAGGGTGTTTCTTAGCTTCTGCTGCCTGTTCGTCTATTACCGCCTTAGCCAGTGATAAGGCTTCTCTTTGTTCTGTTCTAGCTTGTTGTAATGCCTCAGCTTGATCTGACAATCTGTGCTGAAGTTCAGCAAACTGGGCCTGTAGTTCTTCAATTCCAGCCATGGTAGGGTTCTTGACCAGGTCTGGATTGTGCTACCAGAACTCAACCAGTAGACCAGTGGGGTGGACCCTGTGGATAGGATCCTGTTCATGACACCAATTATGTAAGCAGGGGAATAGTCCCACTATTGTGGGGAACTTTCCTGGCCTCTGCACTACCCCGGTGAAGTGGGCGAGCGAAAGGATCTGAGTCTTCGCTCCCACTTCCTTTACCCAGTGGCCTCCCTGCCCTTGATGACTCCCCTTCCTCGTAACCCCAACAAAGCTGGGCCCAGGATTCCTGGGGGTCTCAACCCCCAACCCTGCTGTGGTCACCTAGGACAGGGGCTAGGGTGTCCCCACTCCAGGATACTCTCTCTGCACTGGGCACTTCTCTGACCCACTGATCATTACATACAATTTAAAGTAAATGCAAGTTATTTAATCAACAATTAATTTTAAAAAGAATAAGGAAAATGGGAAAGGTTAAAAGAAACACATCACCCTGCTCTGTGGCAGGGAACATCACAAACAGTGTCTCTGGAATGTCCGGGCAGTTCACAGTCTATTCCTTTTAAGTCCCAGGCCTTCTTCTCAGGCCCTGGCTGTGCTGCAGGGATGCTGTGGGTTGGACACTCGCTCTGGTGGTGGCCACATGCTTTCAGGCTCTAGGTGGCAGGTCCCTTCTTCCCAGCATTGCCCCCGCCTGCTGCTCTGCCTCCGGCTCCCTGGGCTGCTTCTCTGGCCCCTCTGGCTCTGGTTGCTGCAGCTCTCCTCCCAGGACAGATCTGCTCTGCAGGCTGCTTCTGTGACTCTGCTCCCAGTACTGACCTGCTTCGTGGGCTGCTTTTCTGGACCCTCTGGCTCTGGTTGCTGCAGCTCTCCTCCCAGGGCAAGTCTGCTCTCTCTGGGCTGTGCCTCTGGCTTTGAGGCTGCAGGCTTTGAGGCTCCCAGGACAGGGTCTGCTCTCTCTGGGCTGCTTTTCTGGTCCCTCTGCATCTGGCACAGCTCTGCTCCCCAGCTCAGCTTGGGCCCCTGTTTTCTCCCTAACTCGGCCCCACTCTGTCTGACCCAGGCAATTCCAGCTCACACGGAGGACGGGACCTCCCTGGCCTCCTGACTCCCTGATTAGCTTGCCTGTCCTGTCATTCAGGCTGACCTGGAGTATTGGCCTCTCCTCATTGTTCCTGGGGACTGTCAGTCTCAGGGTCCTGATTTCCCATTGACCCTTCCCCCTTTTAGTACTGGGAGCTAGCAACTAAAACACCCCCACTGAATGTTAGTAAGTGGGTGTCATAAATGCAAAGGGAAGGGTAACCACCTTTATGTATACAGTGCTATAAAATCCCTCCTGGCCAGAGGCAACATCCTGTTACCTGTAAAGGGTGAAGAAGCTTAGCTAACCTGGCTGGCACCTGACCCAAAGGACCAATAAGAGGACAAGATACTTTCAAATCTTGGTGGGGGGAAGGTTTTTGTTTGTGCTCTTTGTTTACGTGGTTGTTCTTTCTTGGGACTGAGAGAGGCCAGACAGAAATCCATCCAACCCATCCTAATCCAAGTCTCCAATATTGCAACCAGTATAGGTAAGCCAGGCAAGGCGGATTAGTTTATCTTTTGTTTTATGTGAATTTTCCCTGTGTTAAGAGGGAGGTTTATTCCTGTTTTGTGTAACTTTAAGGTTTTGCCCAGAGGGGGACCCTCTGTGTTTTGAATCTGAATACCTTGTAAAGTATTTTCAATACTGATTTTACAGAGACGATTTCTCTTTCTTTCTTTCTTAAATAAAATCCTTCTTTTAAGAACCTGACTGATTTTTCCATTGTTCCAAGATCCAGGGGTTTGGGTCTTTGATGATTTTGTAACACATTGGTTAGGATATTATTCTCAAGCTTCCCCAGGAAAGGGTGTGTGTAGGGCTTGGGGAGATATTTTGGGGGAAGATGTCTCCAAGTGGTCTCTTTCCCTGTTCTTTGTTTAAAACGCTTGGTGGTGGCAGCATACTGTTCAAGGACAAGGCAAAGTTTGTACCTTGGGGAAGTTTTTAACCTAAGCTGGTAAGAATAAGCTTAGAGGGTCTTTCATGTGAGTCCCCACATCTGTACCCTAGAGTTCAGAGTGGGGAAGGAACCCTGACAGTGGGCAGCCGTCCCCTTACATAAGTACTTACTGGTCCATGCAAACTTTGATTCCTGCTGCCATGACGGGCTGTCCGGCCTGGCCTGGCCTGGCCTGAGGCATGATGGCAGGGCATTGTTGGGGAAGCTCTGGGCCCACAACTCAGCTCCTTCTCCTGGGTTGTGAACTCCTCTTCCTTTGCATGTATGACTCCTGCTAGCTCCCATGGGAGTTACATGTGGAAAGGGAGAGGAGAGGAGACATCTCTGAATTTACTCTTGCTCTGGGACTGAGCTTGTTGGCACGAGCACTAAACAAGTTGGAATCCATGGGAAAGACTCATCTCTCCAAGCAGTCTGTGAAATATGCAAGCTCAGCTCATTTATTGAGGGCACACACCTGAGCCTTTAGAACAGAGCTGGAGATGTGGGTCAGCAGGAGGTGGAAGGTGAATTTGCATCAGGGAAGAACAAATGCTGAAGTTTTTTCTGCTTGCACCTGGCAGGTATTAGAGGCACCCTCTGGAATGGATGAGCCCATGCGAACTTCAGAAACCAATCATTGGCACCTGGCACACTCTGGGAAGGAATCCATCTCTGTCACTCTGCACAGTGCCACCAACCTGCCAGCCACCCGGAAGGGGAATGTGCCATGGCCCTATGTCACTGTGTGAGTACCTGGGAATTTTACTTCTGGGCTTGAGATGCTGCTTCTCAGCTTTGGTTATAAGATCTGCTCTTAAAGCAAATGGAACAGGCAAGGAGTTGAGACTGCAGTGCTGGCCATAAGGCTGGTCTCTGCTGATCTGTTTGGTCTTAATCTTCACTGAATAGGCTGGCACTTGCAAGGTGTCACAGGAGGATGCATCTCTGAGCTGAAGGCACAGCATGGTAAATCAGGGACACTGAGAATCTTGTGGGAGAGGAGTGTAAGGTACACAGAGGGTTTACCTGAGTTGTCAGAAAAAATGATGCATGCAGCTCTCAGGGTGGAATATCTATTTCTAATTTCCTTTTGTTCAAAATGTGTCTGTCACCCCAGTGATTTATGCTCTGGAAGTGCTAGGAGGAGAATATCTACAGCAGCAATGTATCAGAGTGGTTGAAATGAACTAATCCCCTGCCAGCTGGGAAGTAGCAAATGATCAGTACCCGGGACATTTTGAAGGTTGCCTTCTTCATTTCAGAGCAATTCATGTATGTAGGACTGGTGTCCACTGGGTGGCTCAGGAGCTGCTTTGCTGATACACACTCAGGTGTTCAGGGCTGCCATGATACCCAGGGGGCAGTCCCAGATGCAGTTTGGCTCAGCTGGCCAGACTTTGCAACTGGGGATTGGGATGGTGTGGGAGGTTGAGGAAATACAGATTATGCCTTTATCGTGATTGGGGCATCTCACCGAATCATAGAATATTAGCATTGGAAGAGACCTCAGGAGGTCATCTAGTCCAATCTCCTGCTCAAAGCAGGACCAACACCAACTAAATTATCCCAGCCAAGGCTTTGTCAAGCCAGGCCTTAAAAACCTCTAAGGATGAAGTTTCCACCACCTCCCTAGGTAACCTATTCCAGTGCTTCACCACCCTCCTAGTGAAATAGTGTTTCCTAATATCCAACCTAGACCTCCCCCACTGCAACTTGAGACCATTGCTTCTTGTTCTGTCATCTGCCACCCTGAGAACAGTCTAGCTCCATCCTGTTTAGAACCCCACTTCAGGTAGTTGAAGGCTGCTATCAAATCCCCTTCACTCTTCTCTTTTGCAGACTAAATAAGTCTAGCTCCATCCTCTGCTGCTTAGCCAGTCAGTCCCCAGCCTGTAGCGGTGCATGGGATTCTTCCTTCCTAAATGCAGAACTCTGCACTTGTCCTGGTTGAACCTCATCAGATGTCTTTTGGCGCAATCCTCCAATTTGTCTAGGTCACTCTGGATCCTACCTCTACCCTCCATCATATCTACCTCTCCCCTTAGCTTAGCATCATCTGCGAACTTGCTGAGGGTGCAATTATCCAGATTATTAATAAAGATATTGAACAAAACCAGCCCGAGGACTGACCCCTGAGGCACTCTGCTTGATACCTGCTGCCAACTAGACATTGAGCCGTTGATCACTACCCATTGAGCCCGACGATCTAGCCAGCTTTCTATCCACCTTATAGTCCATTCATCCAATCTATACTTCTTTAACTTGCTGGCAAGAATACTGTGGGAGACTGTATCAAAAGCTTTGCTAAAGTCAAGATATATATCAGAATCATAGACCATCAGGGTTGGAAGGGACCTCAGGAGGTCATCTAGTCCAACCCCCTGCTCAAAGCAGGACCAATCCCCAATTTTTGCCCTAGATCCCTAAATGGCCCCCTCAAGGATTGAACTCACAACCCTGGGTTTAGCAGGCCAATGCTCAAACCACTGAGCTATCCCTCCCCCCACATCACATCCACCACTTGCCCCATATCCACAGAGCCAGTTATCTCATCATAGAAGGCAATCGGGTTGGTCAGGCATGACTTGCCCTTGGTGAATCCAAGGCAATGGGCCTGTTCTGCTGAAAACCTAAGGCTGGTCTGCATTGGAAAAGTATACCGGCATAGCTAGGTCAGTCAGGGTGTGAAAAAACACACACACTCCAGCTGCATAACTATGCTGACAAATCCCCCCAGTACAGGTGGAGTTAGAATCATAGAAGATTAGGGTTGGAAGAGACCTCAGGAGGTCATCTAGTCCAACCCCCTGCTCAAAGCAGGACCAACCCCAACTAAATCATCCCAGCGAGTGATTCTGGTGTTCTGCTGACAGAAGAGGGCTTTTGTCCATGCAGCTAACGTAGTTCAGGGAAGTATGGTATTCCAATGCTGGCAACAAAACTCCCTCTGTTGGCATACATTGCCTCTACACTAGGGGCTATTCTGGCATTGGCTCTGTAGTGCAGACATGGCCTTCATTTCTTACTGGCTTGGAGGGAATATATTGTTTGACAAACAAACCTCATGGTAGAGGGGGTGGCCTGAGGGATCTCTGGATTGGACAAGGGTTTGTAATTGGGTCAGATGATAGGTGAGGTTTGGTTAGGGTGGCTACTCTAGATTTTACAGCTCTTTGAATGAATTTTTGGTACTGTAAAAATGTTTCGAATGATGTCAAAGTCCAGTGGATGGTGCTTTTTGTGTTTATTAAATATGTCAGAATAAAGAAGTAAAACAATGTCCTTGGCGCACAGAATTTGGTTCCTTATGTAGGATACATGCATCAGGGGACTCAATTAAGCAGCAACACTTTGCTGTTTAGTAACTGAAAGGACACTGTTGAGTTGTGCTGTTATAATTAGATAGGTAAAGTCTGAATGCTAACCATCTTTTAAAAGAAAAAAATAATAATCCATCTCTTCTTCACTAAAAAGAGGGGCAAACAGTCACTGTTTGTGTAGGACCTATGCAAATAATTCTTTGTGCTCCACAGTGCTGTTATTGCAGTAGATCTTTACTTAGCAACCCCATTCCCAGACTGGTGTGGGCATCACAAATGACATTGGTGCACTAATGAGACTGTAAACAAGAAAAGCCATGTTAATTTTAGCTCCTTTAGGAAGAGAGGTGGAGGAATCATTACCTGAAAACGAATAAAATCAGTTGAAGATGCCTGATTCTCTATTCGGTTGCCCCAGTTTTACATCTTAGAAACTGATTTCTGGAGGTCCATAAACAACACAAAAGAACATAAAAAATGTAAACGAAATGGGCAGTTTTTATTGGACAACTATATTTATTTATCCATGCTACCAAACCTTGCAGAGGGGAGAGCGAGCCAGACCTAGCATAGCAGGGGTACTGCATGTCAGGTCTGAAGGGGCCCTGGCCCAGCCCGTGGAGGTGAGTGGGAGGACTGGAATAGCAGTGGTTAGGATGGAGGTGAATTGACAGAGCTGTGCGAGGGGTGGGATAGCCGGGGGTGGTGTAGGAAGAGGGCTTGGGTTGCATGAGCAGCGTGGGAGAATACATGGAGATGGGGGGTGAGCTCCATGAAGAGTGGTAGATCAAGGGGCTTGGCCGCAGTGAAGGGCTGAGAGTTAAGTGTAGTACTGAAGAGTGGGGGTATTGCTAAGGGCTAGATGTGGCCAGAGCAGCGGGCAAGGTGGATGATTAGCATTTTAGATGGATTGAAGTTGTTTGCCTGGGAGGCCAGAGAGCAGAGGGTTGGGAGCTCCTGCTCCTTCTGCACCCCCTGAGCTGGAACTGCTGCTTTTCTGCTTCCCTTTGCTCTCAGTGATCAGCCCTGAGGTAACAACAGGCTGCTGGGACCAACAGGTAGTGTCAGACCCACTGTTCAGGGAACTGAACTAGGAAACAGCAGGATGTCTGTGCACTTTGGTCAGGCCCAGGAGATGGAGAATCCAGCCCCAGCTGGATCAATCCACTCTCTGTTTTATCCTGTGGTGCATCTCTGCCAGTGCTTATGTTTCCTGCAAGGAAGTGGCAGGGCGAGTTTTGGACTGTCCTGGTGGTAAACGACAGCCTCTAGATTTCCAGTGGAAGAAGTAATTGTGTCTCGCCAATGGATGCCAACTGGTGTGTTTTACCCATGTTGATCTGAAGAACCCATCATTATTAACAATATCCACCTCAGTCTTCTCTAACACCTTCCTTCAGAGATTATATTTTACCAGGGGTTAGTAAAGATGGGGAAACTGAGGCACAAGTTACTTGCCAAAAGTTGCACAGAAAGTCAGTTGTGGAGCTGGGCATGGAACCCCAGAGTCCTGATTCTTAGTCCACTTCAAAATGAAGGCTGTTAGCAGATCTGGTTGCGCTATATCATTGCATTGGTTGGGGGGGTCGGGGGGAAGAGGTAAACACCAGGGAGAGAGAAGAGCTATTGAAGCCAAGGGACAATGTTGGCACAATATAAACTGGCCATGAATAAATTCAGGCTGGACATTAGAAGCAGGTTTCTAACTATCAGAGGAGAAAGGTTCTAGAACAGCCTCCCATTAGGAACAGTGGGGAGCAAACAACCTAACTCACGGGTGGGCAAACTTTTTGGCCTAAGGGCCACATCTGGGAATAGAAATTGTATGGGGGGCCATGAATGCTCACAAAATTGGAGTTGAGGTGCAGGAGGGGGTGAGGGCTCTGGTTGGGGGTGCAGGCTCTGGAGTGGGGCTGGGGATGAGGAGTTTGGGGTGTAGGAGGGTGCTCTGGGCTGTGACCAAAGGGTTCGGAGGGCAGGAGGGGGATCAGGGCTGGGGCAGGGAAGGGGTGCAGGTTCTGGCTGGGGGTGCGGGCTCTGGGGTGGGGTTGGGGGATGAGAGGTTTGGGGTGCAGGAGGGTGCTCTGGGCTAGGATTGAGGGGTTTGAACAGCAGGAGGGGGATCAGGGCTGGGGCACATGGTTGGGGTGCGGGGAGAGGCTCAGGGGTGCAGGCTCTGAGCGGCACTTACCTCAAGCAGCTCCCGGAAGCAGTGGCATAGCCCTTCTCTGGCTCCTACACGGAGGCACAGCCATGCGGCTCTGTACGCTGCACTATCCGCAGGCACCGCCCCTGCAGCTCCCATTGGAGCAAGTAGGCACTGGAGCGGGGCCATGCTGGGGCTTCCGGGAGCCGCATGGTGCAACCCCCAACCCTGCGCCCCGGAGCAGGTCCGAGCTGCATGTTGCAGCCGCCAACCCTGCGC